GTAGAAACAAATTAAAATAAACAAAAACCATTGAATGAGAAGGTGTGTCCAAACATTTGACTGGTACTGTATATAAAAAATAATAAGTATATAATAATTTATACAAGCGCAACTTTAAGCATGTACAGCAGTAAAATGCANAATGACTGGATGTGTCAGAACTTTCTCCAATTAAACGAAGGTAAAACTGAGGTAATGGTTTTTTGGAGCCAAGGCAGAACGTTAGAACAAAGTTAACGCTGAGCTTCAGTCTGCAATGTTCAAAACAACAGATAGAGCTTTCTTTGAATGGTTTAGGCCCAAAATACATTTCGGACCTACTGCTAAATTATGAACCATCCAGAACTCTCAGGTCTTCTGGGACTGGTCAACTTTCTGTCCCCAGAGTCAGAACTAAACATGGAGAAGCAGCGTTCAGTTATTATGCTCCAAATATCTGGAACATACAGTGGGGCAAAAAAGTATTTAGTCAGCCTCCAATTGTGCAAGTTCTCCCACTTAAAAAGATGAGAGAGGCCTTTCATTTTCATCCTAGGTATACCTCAACTATGAGACAAAATGAGAAAAAAAAGAAAAAAAATCCAGAAAATCACATTGTCTGATTTTTAAAGAATTTATTTGCAAATTATGGTGGAAAATTAGTATTTATGGTAGAGAATGTGATTTTCTGGATTTTTTTTCTCATTTTGTCTCTCATAGTTGAGGTAAACCTAGGATGAACATTACAGGCCTCTCTCACCTTTTTAAGTGGGAGAACTTGCACAATTGGTGGCTGACTAAATACTTTTTTGCCCCACTGTACTCCCAGAAACCTGCAGGTCCGCTGCAACTCTCTCTTACTACTTTTAAATTCAGACTGAAGACATTTATTTTTGCCGCTGCTTTTAATTGAACTACTCATATCTTAAACTGCACTGTAACTTTTATTCATGTATTTTTCCTTTTAATGTTTATTTTATTATTTTTGCTTTTTAATGACTGTTTGTAAATGCCATTTTCTTAATGTTTTTCATTTTTGGAAAGCACTTTGAATTGGCTTGTGTTGAAAGGTGCTTTACAAATAAACTTGCCTTACCAAAAATATCACTGCTTATCTGATTGATGAAAATCAATCCTGATTATCCGGCCAGTGTGTCATGGTCAGTCCCCAGGAACTCTTTCCAGAGCTTCACTTTCAGTTCCTCTCCAACAGATAGGTTTCCATATTATCAGGCGTTAATTATTCATCTATGCTCGCTTGGTGTCTCATTGGAAAATAAAGCAAATCCGTTTAGACCAATGATACAGAATAGTGCCGCGACCTCTCCAATGAACCCTATTGTATTGTCCATTTGTCTCCTACTGCTGGTAGAGTGAAATTGGAGCCGAGGTGGAGATTATTTCTGGATGTGTAAAACTTGTCTCTTGCACAGCACAAGTCCATACACAGCAGGCTCAGTGGTGTGTGTGCAATGCTGGATGAGCTAGGTACAGTCCCTTTGTATTGTGAAAAATGATATCTCCGCAGTGTAACGTCTCTATTACAGCAGGAAGAGATTGTCTTACCCTTTGGATTTGCTTCACAGAACACAACAAATGAGCTTGAGCTGCTGGCTATGGGCCGCAAGTGTCTATGACAACGACGAGAGAAGAAATTAGGTGTGCCATAAGACAGAGACTATAATAATTTCCAAAAAATCCAACTGATACTCATAACTAATGACACATTTTTCAAAATCCCAGTGAGGTCTCTGTTACTGCTCTGGAAAATGTTATTCAGAATTCCAGATAGATAATACAAATACAAAACACAATCAAAACACAAACCTGCTACATACTATAATAATTGTTTATTTACATGCATCCATTTCACAAGTTTTCACAAAATATACAGAAGATATGTCTTTAACAAAATCAACAGGTGCCCATGTCAGTTTTCTTTTTGCATTTTGTCTAAGCCCTTTGAAAAGTTCAGTATGCCCTGTAGATGTGGACAATTAAAAAGTTCAGGAAGCACTCTGGATTGTTTTGAAAGTGACTTAGTCTCTGTCATGGAAGGATGTGGGACAAGCACACAAACAAGTTAAGACAAAGAAAATTATTAAATAATTTATCAAAATTAAGCATGTTTGCATTTTGGGGATGATTTGGTTTCACAACTGCTGAAGACATTGTGATCAGTTTGTACATAATGATATTTAACAACAGAAGCAGTGAAAGTTGACATTATACAATTATATAAAATCAATTTCTACATAGAAATAAGAGCATGAGTTTATTTAATTGTGGTCGGCAATAGTTTTATACATTATATACAGGTAATTATGCAAGGTTACAGTAATGCCTTCAAATTACTTTCCTACAGTCCATACTTTCACATTTATTTTACAATTCAAGACTCCCACCAAAATGAAGGAAATATTAGGAATAAAAAGTCTCCTTTTAAAAATAGGAACTGTGTTCACACATTGTACACACAATGTTTGATGTTTTATTATTAAAGGAAAATAACCACCATTTCCTTTTCATTTACCTTCCAGTGTAAACGCAGACACATCAGTCTCGTCTCGTGCCCTAGGAGGCTGGTAATACTGCTGAGTGGGTCTTGTGCGACGAGGCTGTCCGTCTCCCCCTGGGCGAAATTCGAGTGAACTGTCGTAGTAACCATCATCTTCCTCCTGCCATTGGACATTTGATATGGTTGTGATGTTACTGTGGGTAATCAGATTAAGATGTCATTCATATTTAATCTTTGCTCAACCCACTTGAGTACAGTTTAATTTGTTGCTTCCATTTAGTATTAAGCAACACATTACGGTCTTAATGATAATTGATACATTCTATCAAGTAGTTTTGCTTCTCCTTACCAATGCATCAGCAGGAAGCGGTTTGATGTTATGCAGCTCGATCTCTTCCCAGTTTCCATATTCACTAAACACAACCACAGCCGTGGTGCCTGACGGATGCACAGCATCTATTCTGGCATGGTAGAACTTCAAGGCCATGCACACAGACAGAAACAAATATAAATGTTAGAATTTTAACACCGACATGTTCACATGTCAAGACAAGAGACATGTCAATTAGGTAATGACAACTTGACAAAAAAAACTGTGAATGAGGGGAAATAATTAACAATCACACTATTTCTTGGCATGTTAACTGTCGAACATCTCTCAGACAAAAATAAAAAACACATCAGTAGTAACTGTTGACCATTAACATGCAAGAACAGGGTTATATGTGTATGGATTTCATTTCAGTGAGCATTTTCCAACATGTCAAAGTAAGTTGAATTGTTTCAACAATGATCTGCTATTATTTTGTTAACAATCCAGAAATGACATACCTTGCCATCCTCCCAGTACAGAGCCAGGCACTTGTCTCCAGATTTCCAGACCTGATCCACAAAATGACTTTTCTCTGATCCGCGAGGACTTTGACCTTTGCCTGGTCCTTGCCTTTTCTTATTAGGTCCTGGGTTATTCAAAACGTTTTTCTTGGCGGGCGGTTCCCTGTTGGGGGGGGGCTCCCTGTTTGGGGGGACTAATGAAATTAATGGCTTTATTGGCCCAGTTCTTTTGTGTTCCATGTCTCCATTTTGGAAACGAGAAGGATCCCCTGTCGCAATTTGACAATCCCGCTTTAAGCCCACTTCTTGGGATGACCCTGAGCTCCCGCCCCTCAGGTTGAGGTTAGGTGGCCCACTGTCCCTTTGTCGGTCAAAGTGGTCTGTGTTTGGCCGCTCAGTCTTGCCCTTCCTCCTGTTGTTGTTTTGTTCTTCAAATCTGTCTGTGCGTTTATTATTTCCTCTTCCATCTGGCTCACTGCCTGCAGAATCAGACAGTTTAGATGTGGGTGCGTTGTCTCTAACACCTCTCCCTTTAGGCGGTCCAGACATATTCCCACCGCCACCACCATCTCCATTCCTCGATCGTTGGTGGGAAGATCCGCTAAACTCCATTTGCTGCTGAGGTTCTTTTGGATGTGGGAAAGTAGCCGAGAAAGATGAAGGATATGTTTTCTCATCCCTCATCTCTCTCCTGTCATTATGCGATCTGTCTGTTGTGCCTCGGGACCATCTCTCCTGGCCCTTCCACTGCTGGGCCTGAGCCGATGTTTGTGAGGTGGGAGAGCTAGAGATGGGCTCCTGGCCAGGTTTTGGAAAATCAACATCCCTGTGGAAGCGAGGCGGTCTGTCATTCCTTTGTTGCCTATGGTCATTATGCGAGGAGAACTTGTTCTGAGATGTGTCTTTGGAGTAATAGTCCGAATTGGAGAAACTCGCTCTACCATCATAGTGTTTCTGAGGAGCCTGGCTCTTTGATTCTGAGAAAAAAACACAACATGAGGAACAGTGGCATCAAAAACTATGGTAATAGTGGACCAAATAATACATGGATCATTGTAGGGCTGTACCCGAATATCCGAATATTCGTTCGTTGGAGTACTATTCGGGTTTCAATTTGTTTCCATAGCAACAACAACTTCCTGTCAACAGCGCTAACTCTCCTTCAAAATAAAAGCATGTCCATACAAAATAGGAAGCCAAGCCAAATTACACTTAAGACATACAACTGCAACGAAAGTAACAAACACAATGATTGCATTGTGTTTGTTACTTTCGTTGCAGTTGTATGTCTTAAGTGTAATTTGGCTTGGCTTCCTATTTTGTATGGACATGCTTTTATTTTGAAGGAGAGTTAGNTACCGCCCATGCCTACTGTCTATGTCATGGTGAATACAGTCGCTGCTTTATTTATGTCTGTATGCCGTTGTTGTGAGTTTGGACGGAGCAGCTACAGGTTGGTTTATCCTGATCGATCCGATCTTCATTCAGAAAACACGCATTTTAAAAGGTTTTCGCCTGCCGTCTTGTCTGCACCAAATGCTGGAGTGTTTTTTGTTTTTTTTACGCTGGATATGAACTTGATTTCTATTTTTAATTCTGTTAATCTAGGGTTTAGTAAAGGATTTATCATTCTGATTATGAGGAAGTCCTACTCAGATCCTGTACTTGAGTAAAAGTAAAAAAAATACCAAATACTCTGTTACAACTATAAAGTAAAATTGTTTCTTAGGTAAAAGTACCAAAGTCTAGGCATCAAAATATAATTTAGGATCAGGGGCCTCATTTATAAACGGTGCGTACGCACAAAAGATGGCGTACGCCAGTTTCTATGCACTGTTTGCGATTTATAAAAACCAATTTGACGGGAAAATGTGCGGTCCTCCACGCAAACTCTGACCCATGGTACCCACTAAGCACAAAAACGGGAGAGACGAGAAACTGCAACACTGTTGGCAGAAGGAAGAGAAATATGTGGAAATAATACCATAAATAGAATGTTACCTCATTCATCATATATGAAGAATTAATTTTCACAAATTGACTAAAGCCAATCTTAAAATGATTTAACAAACACCTGTTTGAGACTCCTCAGTGCACACAAAAACATAACTTGAAGAAATAAATGAATACGGAAATGTTATTGATCACCCCTCGATTATGTTCTCTTGTTAAGAAATGTATTCTCATAAATGATGCGGTAAACAGGACAGAATTACTTTAAACTGACGCCGTTTTGCATTTCTATAGGTTGTATAGATACGAGCATGGTTTTATATACTATCATGTTTAATCATGTTGTATGCCGTTCTCCAATAGCCTGCTTGATAAGTCGCTCGTAAAACACAGGAGGTTTGGAAACTAAGAACACCATACAGTATGTGGTAAATTGTACAGCTAGTATAACACATGTAGTGCCGAGAGAAGGGAGTCGGAGGCGCAAAGTTGGTTTTATTGAGCAGCAGAAAACCACCTGTTGCCGGCTTGAAGCCCGGGAAGCAAAGAGGAAGAAGCAAGGAGGGCACACAATAAGTACAGTGAACAACATATATGTCCGTGCGGAAACAATACCCCCAACCTGTAGTTCCATGAGTGAGTTATGTTAATTAGTTAATTAGTGATCACTACACAAGCCCCCCCAGAATTCAACCATGGACAACAATCCTTGCGTCCGGGAGGAAGCACCACAGGGGCCGAGGAGGGTGGTACCGCAGGCGAGGGTAGAGGCCCTAACGAGGGCGAGGGCATCTCCACGGGGGGTGGGGGGAAGGCCAAGGAACGGGCCGTTGTAAGGGGGCCACGGCAGGCGTCGTGGCGAACAAAGAAAACATCCGCCAGCCGCAGAAAGCTGGGTCGCTGTGCTGCGACGTGGGGACGGGTGTGAATATCCCGGTGGTCCCCAGCAGGGAGGAGCGCTGCCCGGCCGCAGGCTAGGGCACAGCAGCGGCGGGCACGAAGTCCTCGGGAGGAAGGAGCGGTATCCCTGGAAGGCAGGAGCAGTCTCCCCGGGAGGAAGGAGCCGTGGACAGAGGAGAGGCGAGACGGGGTCCAGAAGTGCGCCACCCAGGCGCCGATGACAGCATGGCAGACGTTCCGAAGCCGCCGTCGAGGCGAACCGTGAGCCGTCGGTTAGTGGAGAGGCCAGGCAGGGTTCAGAAGTACGCCACCCACGGGCCGATGAAGGCGTGAGCGACGTCCGAAGCTGTTGCCGAGGTGAGGGGAGGCCAGACAGGGTCCAGAATTGCGCCACCCAGGCGCCGATGAAAACATGGGCGACGTCCGAAACCGCCGTTGAGGTGGTGAAAAAGCGAGAGTGTCCACACGAGGTCAACCGTCTGATCGAACCTCCTAACAATGACATCATTGTTCTATTAATATAAAGGGAGGTCAGTTACTCTTTAAAACAGTTGGTAGTTATGGGTACTTTTTACCTAAGTACATTTCGAAGCCCATACTTCTTTACTTTTACTTGAGTTTAGAAGTTTAGTCAGTACTTCTACTTTACCAGAGTATTTTTAAACATGAGTATCTGTACTTCTACTTGAGTAAAGGATGTGTGTACTTTTGCCATCTCTGCCTGAATGTTCGGAAAGCTTGTTATTCAAACCAGTTTACTAGGCAGCGGTTTACAATCTGTAACCACTGAGCTATCCAGTGGCCCAAAGAGTTGTTTAATAATCTGTATTAATAAGCCTTCTGTAGCAAAAAGTACAAAATGTTTTTGTCAGTTTACCGATTCTGTGGGCGTAATTGAAGGCTCATTGTGTTGTAGTGTTTGTATAGCTGGTGACATCTGCATCACTTCATCCCATAGAGGACATAAGCAATCAGATGGCGAGGGAGCTGGAAATCCTCCCCTCCTAATCTCAAGCCAACAACCAGAAACTGAAATTGTTTCAAACCGATGGGACATATGAGATTAACTAAACACAAAGGACTGTTTCTCTTCCCCTGTCTTCCAGCCATATTTGTTTGGAGTGCCAGTCACTGACGGGCTGCATGCCAGATCTGTCTCCACAGGCCGATGGAGACACGACTCAGCAGTTTGCCCCGAGTGAAAATTGGGGCAACACAAGTCCCTGCTGGTGTTTTCTGGGAGTTTTTACAAAAGGGAAGTCCCAGCAGATGACAGTGGGTGATATTCATAGTTCCTCAGCGGTAATAAACACACAGTATGTCTTTTCCCGTTGGCTACATTTAGGAGGTGTTAAAAAGTATTGTACATTTGCTATGTTCCATTAAGCATCCCAGCAACTGATCGCCCTGTGTAACCCATTGTATCCTAAGCATCTCTGTTAAATATTGACTTTTACTCAGCAGTGTTTACAGAAAAAAAACACAAAACCGATGGAGTCAAGGTTAATTTAGCAAACAGTTTTTATAGAAATAGGCTCCATTTGGCTGCTTTCATCGTTATCACCAGTGGACAGCTAGGAAATGGCTGTTTTAATGTGTACAATCATTCAGGAAATTAATTAAAAAAGGCAAAGTCTTGTCTCTCTGGGAGTGTACCTGTTCAGAAAACAGGGACAGCTCTCTGTGAATTAAACTCTCAAACGCTGCTGTGACCCACCTGTTTGTTGAAAGTCTTACAGTGGATTGTAAAACTGGTTGATCCCTGATTTAAAAAAATGATAGGTTATGTTAAATTATGTTAAAAGGTGAGGCCTTGTGTTTGGTGTTTTAAAACCTTGGCTTTTCGCCATCGCCATATTGGCTTTCTGCATATCAAAATGAGAGGGCGGAGCAAAGTGCCAAGAAACACTGGAAAAAGAGGCCACTGACTGTTTGTGTTGATGTGTAAACAAAAGTCCACTTCAAGTTTACAGTGCAACGTTATAAGGTACATTATTTAGGAAAGATCACTAAGGTTGGTTGGTAAGGTAACACTTTGGGATTACTTTTAACAATAAAAGATGCTTTACAAATAAAATGTAATATTATTATTATTAGGGCCTGAGCTCGACAAAGTCGACTGAACTCAAAGCATGACCCCCTGGCAGAGTTATAAGCATTCTTGATGCATATACAAATTAACACAAAAAGCTGTGTTTGTTTGCACAAAGCATTCATCTCATTTAATCTATGTTGGCAAACCCGTCAGATTAAGGTGACTTTGTCATCACACAATAAATGATCATTGCTTTATGGAGTTTTCAAGCTAATGAATTGTGATCGTTGCAGTCAATCTTAAACTCCACTCTATTTTCCTCACTTATCGTAACATGAACAAAGATAAATTACTTCTTTTGTCATCCTTAGAACTCAGAACATATTACTTACTGAGCGACAGCAAAAACAATATTTGATTCTATCTCATATTCAAATGATAAAATAGGAACACCTGAAGGGTTAGAGTTAGCTTTATGGTCAGCCTATAATCTCAGTTCCAGTCACAGAGGAGAAAATGCTTTTCATTCGTTGATGCTTATGTATGGAAATTGAGAACAGAAGTTTGTGTTCGGGTGTAACACGATGTCTGCTCTAATCCTGCTACAAGGCAGATAACAAAGTTGTTGTTTTTCTTTTCAGTAAGATGTCAGTTCCTGGGTCATGAATCAAAGAAAGAGGCAAAGAAGAAAAGGAGGAAACGTGTTTTGAATAATAGGACACATCCAGAGCAAGGAAAGAATAAAAACACACAGCTTTCTTGCTTCCTTTATAGGAGGTATTTGCTGGTGAAATAAGTATCATTTAAGTATAAACCAATAGGATATGGAAATGCAATTCCATTTCCAAAAGGATTAGAGGAAGCAATTTCATGTAAAAGATGTATGTAGAGGGCTACGTCGTTCCTTAATGTATGCTCCCATTAAAATGTGTTGTTTTTTTTAAGTCAAAGCTATATTTATTGAAGTAAATGTCTTCCCCGAAGTGATTTTACTCAATGGGTGCATAATGGACAATTTAATTATCTGTTATTATGACTTTCCCAACTAAATGTTATTTGTTTCTATGATATAACTGAACTCTCCCACCTTAAAGTTACGTCAACAGACCTGTCTGTCCGTCGAAATGCAGTTTTATTGATGACTTTATGTTGGTTAAAGTGGAAAACATTTGAGAAGGAGCTGCATCTGAATGTGAATTTTATTTTAACTTAATATAAATGCATTTCCATTCAACAGGCGACATTGCGGATTTAATTTCTTTCTAAAGTCTCACCTCTCTTCATTTCCGAGCCAAACGCATAGATTTCTCATTATGAAAATTAGATGTACACCTGTTCTGCAGCAGGATGAAATGAAAGCTTTTCTTTGTGTTGGCTGAATGAGCTTCCACACAATCCTCTGTGCACCTTGCTGGAGCTGGCACAGTTCTGCCTTCAGCCCTGGGGCTAATGAAACCTTTGCTTGCTTTCCCACATATTGCACATCTTTCAATTTGGGAGACGGATCGTTCAGACTGGCCTGATATCTCTGGCCAACTCTAATTCTCTCCTTCTTATTTGTATGCATGAACTGTAAACCTTTCCTTAAAGAGCGCGTATATCTCCTGTTTTGTAGCTTCTTCATCAGAGCCTTGACACATTCAAATGGCTTCTTGTAGAACACCTTGTGCAACAAAATGAGATAACGTTGAGGTGACTGCAGCTACAGCTGAAGGCCAAGGTACATCACTTACCAAAGGAGAACAAGTGTTTATTGTAAAAACAGTAAACACCCATCAATACCTCTTGTTAAGACACCACTTGTAGCTTTAATCAAACCAGTCTCTGTATCTGTACAGCACACACTGAATTATTAAACTGCTTGTGAGAAATTGTAATTAATACACATAAAAGACTTGTCAGGCATTAAAACACACTTTAAATCAACAGATGTGTTTTGGTTTAAAAAATAGGGATGCTGAATTTTGTTTTGTATTTCTACTGAAGCCCAAGTGATACTGCTTGCTCAGCATTTCCGATCCCGATATTGAACTGACAGACGCTGCAATATATTCTGGATTATTGCATTGGCAGTCCAGACCTGAGAGAATTTTCTGCAATGTGAAGCCCTGTCTATTGTAAAAAAAACTCCATCAACAATGAGTGGAGAGCAGGCAGGACTGTTTGGATGAACCATGATTTTAATCCCAATACATAATCGATTGGCCATTTTGCTTTGTTACGTTTTCCCGGAGGACAAGGCGCCCATTGGATCGTCTGTAGGTTTAATAATGGCCGTCTCTGCTTCCACCATTTCTGCTAACAGTTATCCTTACCGTTGTTTTATATATTGACAGCACATTGTGCCTCTAACAAACCAACTTTGTGCTTGAAGGAGACATCCATTATCCTGATGATATGCATCAGATTCTTTACTTCTGCCAGGATTTTTCTGTTTGATAGAGGTTTCCACAGAGAGGAAGTGGAAGTGACAGTTGACATTGGAGCGTTTAGAGGGGCTGAAAGCAAGTCAAGCTCTGGATGAAATACAGGGGCGAAGATACTGTGCCAAGCCAAAAAGGAGTTATACATAGTCCACATACCTGTGAGCTCAGACAGAATCTGATGCAAATGTCTGCTCACTGAAGCCAGGTAGAACCGGTCGTATTGCTTAATTCCTGAAGCCATAAAAAAGCCATAAATTGAAGAAAAGGTGAACAGAGGACAACAAATAAAACTCTTGTAGCGAGACCTTTGTAAGTTATGTGTAATTAATAGTTTTCCTAAACCAGTTGTCCTTTAGATTACATAATTGGAGTGCTTTTACAGTACTTTCAGACCACTCTAATAAGCTATTCAGTAACTATAAATCATAGAGGCGGACGTCCTTTAAAAGGGCAACAGGTCACCTTATTAGCTGCCTGGGAATTGTACCGCTGAATTAGAATGAGGGATACCGTGACTATCCTGTCACAGAGGCCACTGAGGAGCTTGTGGAGCGGTGGTGGGGCAGAACAGGGCAGAGATGGAGGAAAGAGCTGGAGAGATGATGAGAGAATGTGCGGATGTAATAAATGTGGGAAATGGGGTGCGGGGGGGTACAGGTGAGAGAGAGATGGTGAAGAAGAGAGAGACTATGTGTTGGACTGAGAGAGAGCCATACCAGAATAAGTGATTGGTGCTGTGCTCCCCTGTTGTATGCACCAGATGGTGTTCATTGATTATTCATTGCATGCGATGGATGTCACTGTCACCGCACACAGCCCTGCTCCATCCTGCGGCAGAGGGGGGGGGGGCTGCATGGGGCTGGTGGAGCAGTGTGTGGATGCTGCAGGTGTTTGGAAACTGCATCACAGCAGCAGTGGTGTAAAGTCACTAAAGTAAGAACATTTACTCTCGTATTTTGAGAGACTTGTACTTTACTTGTGTATTTACATGTTTTGTACTTCTACTCGACTACAATTCAGAGGTGCATCGTGTACTTTTACTCCAAT